TTCAGAGCAATTCTCCAAGGCGACAGAACCTGCACCAACTGTCAGCTCCAGTATCGATACACCAAGTGAGCCTGCCTGTAAAAATATAACAATTAGAAGTGCATTGTCTAAATCGATTGCAGGAAATATGTTTTGTCATGTGAAGCAAAGTCTGCAAGACATTCCCGACAAGCTTTGTTATAAACATGTCACTTAAATTTGCAGAGACAACGCCAACTCCCAGTCCATCAGTTCATCCAACGACCAGAGAGCCTTTGCATGTCAATGACACTGCCGGTGAGTTCACTGCACGACTCGCATAAATCACATTTATGAATTCTATTTGTTTTTGTTTCTTCTTCAGTAAACAGGTCCAACTGTTTACTTTGTTATATCACAAAATGTCCATTCAAATAAATCACTGCATGAAATCAGATGATGGGCGATCTGCACAAGGACACTGTGAAACAATAAAACGTTTACATCAATGTTTGTGTAGATTCCCACAGATTAAATTTGTTTCTTTCAACAAAGTATTGAGAGCGTTTAAGAGTTTTTTTTAACAGTTTAGTTTCACAAGTAATCATAATAGTTACAGTTTTTCAAACACATTGTAAAATTAACTGTTTAACTGTTTTCCCTCCTGCTGTAGAACCAGATCAATTCTTTAGAGTTGATTTGGTCTTAAATATGACTGGTAACCCTTTGGATCCAAAGGATATCATTGAGAAATGGGTAACACACTAATATAATTTCACTTGAAAGATACTTAGAAAACAAAGCAAAACAGTTTAAACAAATTTCTTTTGTTTTTGGCAAAAGGTGAAAAAGCAGCTAGAGGTGAATAACACGATGAGTGTACTGAATCTTGACATAAAAGAGAATGCTGTCAGGTGGGTGGCAATAGAACTTCATTTTTATTGCACATTTTAGACCCTTTTAACATGTTTGCCATACAAATATGTCTGTCTAATATTTTATAGAAACATGGAGCATTATTTCAATTTAATGGTGAGTACGCGCTCAACTATAGAAGCAAGAGAGGGCCTATAAAGTATAGTGGTGTATAATCCATTTTAATATTAGACAAGAACGACTCCATTTACGTTTAGCTGTCTCTGTTTCTTTCTTTAGATTTCTCAGGACCAACCAAAACAGTAAGTGACAATGAATATGGAAGAAAGAAATATATTTATGTCGGGTTTTCTGTAATACTGTAATTCAACTTCGTTTATATTCAAATTCAGAAATACTTGTTCAAATCGGCGTCTCTAACTACTAACTGCATATTTCATTATCAGATATTATTGTGCCTTCCATGTTCAGGAAGGCAACAAAAACACTGTGGCAGAAATTGAAATCCTAATTCAAGCTGCCTTGATGTCAAAGTATCAAAATCACTCCATTATTATCCAAACTGTGGAAGTGATGATCAGACATATAGGTAAGTTATATTTCTGATACAAACAAAAACCGAGGTAAGTTATGGAAGACTAACAGTATTTTTTTTTTCAGTGCCAAAAAACTGTTCAGAAGACACTAGCTTCACAATCTATGGAAAATACATATGGCCTGAAACATTTCCACAAAGAATCCAAGTAATGGGATGCATCACGCCAACATCAGAGAGAGCTTTCAGACTCTGGTAAGACATGATCATATTCCTAATCGGCAGATTTAATATTTGACCAGAGGCAATGACGCTTTAATAGCACTGTTTGTCAGACTGTTAGACTGCTTTGTTGCTATATAAGAGATTATTACACAGTATCCCCCATAAAATAACAAAGTAGGCTCATATTTGTTTGTCAATGAGACAAGCTTTAGACAAGCTATGAAACGTAAACTTATCTTGATAATAAAATATGGGGAAAAATAGGCTGTTATTTCTATCTTCTTTTAACTTGTTAAGATCTCTGGGATCTTTGTCAGAACTGCACACAGACAGTTCAGCAAGATGAGGAAAGCTCCTCATATAATGCCCTGTTCCAGCTACTCCACCCACACCATGTGTAATTCTGACCCCACACACGTAAAACTGACGGATCCCTGCCAGCCCACAGCCAAATCTGAAAAAAATCAATTTCCTTTAAGTTGATTATTAGTGTAATGACAAACCACAGTTTTTTTATGCTTCAATGATTGCATTATCACGACACGGAAATGACTGAGTAATAGGGGTAATCAATTTTATGATCTCTTAGTGAAACATTAAGATTACGCTAAGGTTTATTAAAATCATTATTGGCCCAGGACAGGGTTGTTTTTTCTTCTTCTTTCTTTTTTCTTCCAGAAGCCAAGATTTAGATACAGTGCGACTTTGTGCAACAACGTCAATTAGAGCAGACCATAAAGATGTTTAATGTTCTCTTTTTATTATTTCCTCCTCCCTTCAATTCTCTGGTCTGTTTAGTAAGTTAGACATTGAAACGGACACGACCAGATGGGCTGATCCTAACATGAAGAACTGCAACCAACATCTATCAATATCGGACCTTAACAATATCACTGTGACTCCTGGTAAGAGGATCGACGTGCAGTCTGTTTTTAGTCCCATTTCTTCACAGCTTCAACACAAGCCAAAAAACCCTCTGGTGTTAATGATTTCCAGGTAATGCAGCTGAGGTTGTGGTGGTGATTCAGGACCTTGTAGTTATTCAGTTAGGCAATAGCTCGGAGCTCTCGCCTTCTCACCTGGAATCTGTGGTGGAAAAGCTCAGTGAAGTAGTCGATGAAAGCATCGTTAACTCCGCGGTTGGAGCCAACATCGTCACTATCGTTTCTGATATTCTGCTTTCCAACACTGATGTTACTCCGGTTTCAAACACGTAAGGAAAAATGAAAGTGTGACTCCTGCCCAAGTTTGATGAGCTGTGCATTTCTGAATCCAGTTCTTATTTACATGCTAATCGAAATGTTTTTCTTCCTTGCAAAAAGTTTCCTCAATCTGACAGACAGGATGGCGGATAATATGATATTCCATGGTGAATCTGCTAATTTAACCGCTCCCCCACTGGGATTTTCCATGATCAATGTGGATCCAGAGGAATTCAGTGGTCTCACCTTTGGTGCATCAATTGTTTCACCAACTAAGAGCCCTGAGGTGAGAGGTTGGAAATGCTCTAATGAAGAGGGAAGTGAATTTGACATATTAGAAATTTCCCTTAAATACAAAAGTTATAAAATATGTCAAAGTAAATGAAGTGCTATATTTGTATTAACTCAATGCGAAAAACGAAAAACAGTTTCCACCTGACTGCTTATAGGATAGATTTAGTTGCAATAATGCCCTTGAAAACACAGGTGACTGTTCTGGCAAACAGGTATTGTGGCCTCAAGCAGTCATGGCAGATTGGGTTTTAACAGGAAAAGCTCCATGATCCATACAGGCAGTTTTAAAGCAGCGTGCAGCAATGTGACCCTGTTTTATTTTTCTTTCTCAGATGTTTGTCGACCAGGGCTTTGTGAATAAACCACATCCCACAGCAAATGCAACAATCTCTTTGCCTTCTGCACTCAATGATTTCTTCCCTACTGGAGGGAGAAATACAACTCGTGTTCAGTTCCAGTTTTATGGAACACACGAGCTTTTTCAGGTACTTTATTCTTCCCGTGCTATTTGTTACATTGTTTGTTAATTGTTGTTCTTGTTATTCTTTCTTCTTCAAAAATCGACAGGTTATTAGGTGTAATATTTACAACTTCGACTTTGGAAAGGTTGCTTTGTTTTTGAAATCTCGATAAATCCATAAAGCTGGAGCGAGGAGAAAATAAACCATAGCGTTGCATAAAAACACATAACACAACCACTCACAACTGTAACTAACTAGAGAAAATCAAAAAAT